CTCGCCCTCGACGGAGATCATGGCCTCGATGATCTCGTCGTTGCTATCGAATCGGACCTTATTGATACCCTCGAAGCACTTCCCCATGTGAGGTTGCACAGCCGTGGGGTCCTTGGTCTGCGACAGGATCATCAGAAGCTCGTCGTTCGAGAGGAAGAAGAAGCGCGGGAAGGCGAGTCTCTTCGTCTCCAGGTAGTCGTTGAGGCACTTCTGGATCGCGTCCAGCTTCTTGTTTGCCTCAGTGAAGCTCGGCAGGAGTCCTTCGATATCAGAGATGTCGATTACGTTGGGGTTCTCGAGGATGGCGTCCATGGTGTCTCGCCAGAGCTTGTCAACGGACTGGAACTTTTTTGCCTCGTTGGGCATTTGCCGAATTATGTCGTCGGCGCTGAAGATCGGCTCCAGATACAGCCAAGTCCGCTGGCACGCAAGCCACTGTTCAAGCAGATCCTGGATGTAGATCAGCTTCGTCTCCCAGTCCTTCACCTCCTTCTCGATGGGCTTCACGAAAGGCGAGCCACGCAACGCCTGCGTCTTGATGATGTGGTCGTCGAGCAGCGCCTGCACGTCGTCGATGCCCTTGAGGAGGTAGGTCCCCGTATTCTTGTAGGCGAGCGTGCCGAGCTCCATGCCCTTCCACTCCTTCTTCATGCCAGCGAGCGTGACCTTCAGGCCGTGCTGCTTCTGGGCCTCGGTGCTGATTCGCTCCACCTTCTCGATGTGGTCGAGGATGTGGTTGTCCAGCAGGGTCGTCAAGCTCAGACCCTCTTCGACGTCGATCTCCTCCACCAGGTCCATCTCCTCAAACAGCTGCATGAAGTGCTGCACCTGGATCGCCTCCTGGCACAGCCCCTGGACGACGGGCATGTTCTTCTTGAAGGCCTGGATCTTCTTGCGAAAGTCCTCCGCAACCTTCTGGGGGTTCTGCTGGCCCTCGAAGGACTTGAACATCTTGTACGAGTCCTTGAACGACTCGTCCACGGTGGTCTCGATCTCGCTCGCGTTGAGACGGACAAGCGGCGAGGACAGCCACTCCTCCTCCGAGTGCGTCCACTCGATGGCCGCGTGCCACAGCTTGTAGAAGGGGGAGAACTCCTCGATGAGCTCCTCGAGCTCCGAGTAGTCGCCCCTCTCGGCGCCGAAGAGCGCCTCGCGCTCCGCGAACGACTGCACCTGCGTCCGGGCCTTCTCGAAGTCTTCCTGCAGCTTGAGGATCCGATTGGAGTGCTTGCTCGCGTTCTCAAAGTCGTCCAGGCTCTTGGTCCAGTCCAGATCGATCCGGTACTGCTTCAGGTCCTTCCAGAACTCCTCCCTCTCCGCGTCCAGCTGCTCCCTGAACTGCTGCTGCTCCTTCTCGAGCCGCCTCTCGGACTCCATCACGGCCATGTTGATGTTCAGCGGCCACGAGAAGGACTCGAACGCCTTCTCGACAACCTCTGCCTGGAGCTCGAAGCTGAAGCTCTCGACCAGGTTGATCTGCTCGTGCACCTCCCGTGACTTCGCCTGGAGCGGCCTCACGACCTGCTTCTGCACCGCCGCCGTGAAGTCCTTCAGCCGAGCGAGCTGGCTCTCGTTCTCGGGCGTGGACAGGATGTAGTCGTGCGTCTCCCGCCACTCCTCTAGAATGCTGTTCGAGCGCTCCTCGATGCTCTCCGCCACGGCGGTCAGGCAGTCCGTGGCGAGCTCCTCGGCGCGCGTCGCCAGCACGTCGATAATCTCGGCGCAGTCCAGCTGGAAGAGGGGGAAGTCCACGACGCTCGTCGACAGATGCTCCACCGCCGTGGCCGCCTCCCTGTACGCGGTGATCTTCTCGCGCATCTGCTCCACGTCGAGCGGGTCGAGGTCCTGGGCCTCCGAGTCCCCGAGCAGGTAGGCGTACTCCTGGAAGGCAGCCTGCACCTCCGACGGCGCCTTCAGGCACTCCTCGATGACCTGACGGGTGACCTCCTTCGCGCGGGCCAGGGGCTCGTAGGCGCACCTGCGGGCATCCGGGTCCTCCAGGGGCTGGAAGAGTTGCCGGTGCGGCAGGTTGCAGAAGGGCACGAGCTCGTGCTCGATGCAGGAGATTGCCGACGTGACCTCGACGGTCCCATCGAGGAGAGTCATCAGAGCCTCGACGAGCTCGTCTGGCTCTGGCTGGAGCGAAACGTCCTGCTCCGTCGCGACTAGGTGAAGCAACAGCAGCGGCGGCGGCAAGGGCCGCATCACCGACGGCTGGAAGCTCTGCACGAATTCGACCCAGACCTCGACAGATCGCTCCATGAACCAGCGTACCTGCGAGTTGAGCATGAGATCCAGCTTCCGAAGAAGATGGTGTAGCGGACCCTTCAGGTATCGCTGCGAATCGTCGACAAAAAAATTGTGCAGGTCGGACGTCTTGTCGAGCACCTCGGCGATGATGTAGTCCCTCCACATGCGCTTCAGCACAACAGCGCAGTTCTGGCGGTGGCCCACCATGTGCTCCAGGAACTCCTGTGAGGGGGAACCATAGAGGGGGGACCAGCACAGGGGGAGGGGGGAACAATGACATGCGATCGGCGATCTATCGCCGATGGATCGACGACAGGCACACAAGAGCGAACCCACGCGCTCACGGGCAGGGTGGTGGGGGGCCCGGACCCCGATCGGCGAGGATTGCGCGAGAGTGGAGGTCGATGGTTCCCCCCCTGAGCCAGTGTTAGGTCGGGCGTATCCCCCTACAGGCGGATTTTGGACGAGCAAATTCCACTGTCAACAAAAATTCAAAAATGGTCAAAGATAATCAAACAATCGTCCCCGTACTAGTTTTGAATTACTTTTGAATTTTCCTCATGTAGAGGTACGCGCCCGACTTAAAGCCAGTGCCGGCTCTCATGAAACCACCGAGGACTGGCGAGAGCGTCAAATGGCCTCGAAGCTCGAGCCCTTGTGATGCACTTTCGGGGGACCTTGTGCCTGTCCCGTCGCGCCCCTTTCCGCGTGGAATCCGCGCCGAATCCACGTCGCTATCCACGCCTCTGCGTCGAGGCCACATCGAGCCCGTGCGGGGCACAAAAGAAGACACCACCTTCACGGACACTCCGAAGAAGCAACTTGGCAGCGCGCAGAGGGGGGGAGGGGGAGGGGGGAAGGCTTCTTGAGAGGAGGCTGCTTCTTAGAAGGCGCCTGGTTCAAATCTAAACGGAAGGCCCGCGCCTTCTGAGAAGCAGGGGAGCTTCTAAGGAGCCCTCCCCCCTCCCCCTACCCCCCGCTGCGCGTGTCCGAGCAACGTAGGAACCACTTTCACCCGGCCCTACTCCTCCAGCTCGAACACCCTCTTCGAGGGGTCCCCGGCGCCTGGCGCCGGCCTCGGCTCCAAGAAGTCGCCGGCGCCGCACCGCGAGGTGTCGAGGACGTAGTGCTTGGCAACCTCCCAGGATCGGGCGGCATCGAACAGGGAGATCAGCTCGGGCTTGAGATGGCGTCCCAAGACGGCCTCCGAGGGGGCCAGACAGCGCAAGAGCGCCCCAAGACGGCCCCAGACGCCCCCATATGAGGCCCCAAGAGACCCCAAAGAGGCCCCAAAGAGACCCCGAGAGGCCCCCAAGTGGCCTCCAAGTGGCCCAGAGAAGCTCCCAGGAGGATACGAAGTCGAAATCGAATCTCATCAGTTGTGCCAGGATACGAACAGCGCCACGCAAGCATCGGGCCGCATCGGATCGTTGGAACATCAGAATCGAGTGGGACCGTACGTGGACAAAATATCCGAACCCTGCTGCGCATGATGCCCCCCCGGACCCCCAACTGAATATTGGAGGGTGTGACAAGCAAAGGGGCTTGAGTGGACAAAACTATTCGAACCCCAAATCACCACCCATACCGAGTTCAACATTGATATGGGGGGGCGGGGGGGAGCTCAGTAATCCTGCAAGCTTGCATTGGGTTCGAATATATTGTCCATGTTGGATCAAATCGGTCGCATCGGTAGGGGCCCTGACCTCCCGGCTGTAGCGGCGCCACACCATGGAGACCATGGAGAAGATGCTGCTCGCGAAGGTCGGCCTCTGCTCGACTTCCTCCACCACCTCTGGATGAGAGAAAGAACAGCAGCATAAAAGCAGACTCAATCCTGAAGGGCCCTGGGACACACAAATAAATAAACACAAATAACAGGATTCCCCACATTTTCCCAGATCTTCTGGGTTTTTGTCTTCCTCCCCACTTCTCATATTTCCCTATATTTTCTGCGGGACCGACAATTAATTGTGTCTGTGTTTTTGTCCCTTCCTGAAATCCGAAACTGTGCACTACAAAACCCATCACCACGATCACAACAAACAAGCCAGACCAAAATCAAGGTTCGGAGGTCGCTTCGCGCGGACTGCGGGAAATTCGCACGGGCGTCCGAAGTAGCATGTTTCTGTCAATACTATGATTCGCACCTCGAGCACGGACTGCAGGGCCTTTTGGTGGTCCACGAGCCCGCTCTGCGGGACGGGCCGGGGCAGGAAGCTGCTAAGCACGGGGTAGAAGTCGCTTTCCTCGTCCAGGCGAGCGAGGTGGGTGCCGTGGCCCTCAATGAGCTCCTCCTTGGTGATGGAGAACTTCACGGCTTGCACGTAATTCTGTTCCACCTCTCGCACCAACTCCCGGATGGTGTCCACGTGGGCGTTGGGGTCCTCCAGGTGGCTCTTCTCCACGCACAGGCGAATGAAATGTTCCTTGTGCGGCCGCGGCATGGGTGTGACAAGCGCGTCACGCTTGGCTTCTATGAAGTCGATGAAGCTCTCCTGCGTCTCGCACCACGCCTTCTTCGCCCTGCAGGTCTCCACACGCCTCCTGAAGTTCTCTGGATCCTCGGCGTCGAAGCGGAGGCTGAGCCTCTTCACCTTCTTCACGGCGTCCGTCTCCAGCGTGACAACATATCGCTGCGTCGCCTCGTCATAGCTCTGGACCCAACATCTGGCCATCGTCCACTTGCCCCCTTTGTAGTGCACCACGTTCGCCTGCGGGAGCTCGGGGTGCTGGCCGACGAGCGCCATCCACTCCGCGGGCGTGCGGACCTCGAACTCCTCCCGGGGGCGCCGAGGAGGGGGGAGCCACGACGGGGCAGGTTGGCGCACCGTGGCCAGAGGCACGTGCGCGGACGCGCGGGGGGGGGGGGCCTGGGCAACGCACGACAGGGGAGATTCCACGGCCGTGGCCACGAGATCCACACGCCCCTGGTCCCCAACCCCTCTCGTCGACGCCCTGGTGGCTCCTGTCTGGCACCTCCAGCAAGCCCTATAGGCGAGGCGCGGCCGCTGGACTGGAAGGGGCCCCGGGCCGAAGAGGGCCCCGAGGGCCAACGAGAACCAACCCCGAGGCCCCGAGACAACGCCTCGGGGCCCAAAAACCGCGCGGTGGCGGACCGTGAGGTGACCGCGGAATTCCCAACGACCTCACCGCAAGGTCCGTCACCGCACGGTTCATCACCGCACGGCTGGGCGGCCTTGAGAGCCCAGATCGCCCGAGGCATCCTTGAAGAACGACCCGAGTCTCAAAACCGTGCGGCGACCCAGAACCCCCACGGATTCACCACGCAATTCCCCAAAACGTCCTCCATCCCCTCTTTGCAGGAACAAAGAGGGCCCCCGAGAAGGGACTCCAACGCCCCGAAAAATCTGCGCGGACCTCCGAAAGTTCATGATTATGCAATTCCCCAAACAATGTTTGCACTTAGGGATTCTTCGTCTCGTTTTACGGAACTGGCCCTGAATGTCGGTCTGCCGGCTCTGAGCTCGCCGTCGCCGCCCCGTCGCCACCTCGTCGCCGCCCCTCGTCTTAGCCTGATGTTTGGTTTGGCGGTTCCGTGCTCGCGATCGCCGCCCCGTCGCCGCCTCGTCGCCGCCCCTCGTCTTAGCCTGATGTTTGGTCTAGCGGTTCCGTGTTCGCCGTCGCCGCCCCGTTGCCGCCGCCTCGCCGCCCCCTTCGCCGCCTCGTTTGTACAACATACAGTGCACCACGTGGATTGCACAACATCGCCTCCTCCTCCTGCCTCCTCCCGCTCTCCTCCTCCTCCTCCTCCTCCTCCTCCTCCTCCTCCTCCTCCTCCTCCTCCTCCTCCTCCTCCTCCTCCTCCTCCTCCTCCTCCTCCTCCTCCTCCTCCTCCTATTACACAACATAAGTAGCACCACAATGATTGCGCCACACAGACTGCATCACATAGAATGCACCACATAGGTCGCACGACATAACCTGCACCACGCAGATTGCATCACGTCGCCTGCACCACACGGACTCAGCACATGGCTTCTTTTTTATACCGAAAAATAAATCTACAACCTTCCCCCGCGGACGTGTCCGTGCCCTTTTTTCTGTTGATGTGCACTTTACATACGACTGTGTCCCACGGTTCATGTTAAACGCGAATCCGTACCATGCCAGCCATGCAAGTATCGACACCTTCCCACGTTCGTCAGATTTCATTATGCGCGCGTTCGTTGATCAAAAACTATCAAGTCCACATGCGCGCGTCGCCGCGCGCATGCCGCCATGTTGCGAAACCCTGAAGTTGCGGGAGGATTTCAGGATCGAAGTTCCCCAAACCACATGAAACAAACTGCTTCATAGGCTCTCCTAGTGAATATGCGATCGCGCTCTTGAGACTTCTTTGCCACAACCAAAAATTAATTGTTCTACATTGTCATCAAATTCGACGAGAGAGCTTCTCGCGTGCGCATGTCGAAATTATTTCAACGCCCTTGCGCGGGTGGCGGGGGCGCGCTCCATGTCAAAAAACACCATGCGGGCCACTCGCGCCCGTCGGTCGCGCGCACATGTCGAAATCCTTCCACAACTTCCACCACCGACACTTGGACACCATCATCGTCACCGACGTGATCAGCATCGGCCGTCATTGGCTTTGCCGTCGTCATCGCCACCGTCGTCACCAGCATCGCTAAAATCATCATCGTGTCTGCCGTTGTCGACGTCGCCACGATGCCGCGCCCGCCCGAACCACCGACTCGCACTGAAGTGCACGCGCGTCAGCGCGGCCTGCTAGACGCGCTGGAAATGCCCAGCGGTCAGCGCCACCGCGGCCGCGTCGGTCGCGCCCGACTAGCTGGCCGCCTACGCTGGCCGACATGCAATGCTTCGTTCCCCGACGCTTGGACGCCCCCGCTCCTCCGGGAAGTCAAAGACCTCCATCGGCATGCTCTTGAAGCCGAAGTGCGGCGGGCGGTCCGGGCGCGGGGGCGCCCGGGGCGCAGCCTCGTCCGGGGCTGCTCCTGGCGGAGGCCAGGGGCGCCAGGCCTCTCCAGAGGTCCTTTTCCTCCCCTGCAGTTCTGTGACAACTCATGCGAGCCTCCCATGTAATCTTGCTGGCTCATGCGAGTCGACGCCAACAGACGCTATTCGACGCGAAATCGACACATCCTCATCGATTACCAAACACTGGCACGCGCGAATGCACTGTAAAAACGGAATTGGGAGGACACGCACGGCTCCCATGAGTAGCTACCAAAAGGCGCCGGGTTTCTCCAGAGACCCTCCGCTGGGAGATGGAGAAAGAGAGAGAGAGAGAGGTTGAAAAGCTCGACCCACACAAGGATCCATCAACCACCAGCTCGGGGATGGACAGAACCCCCAGGAGAGGTCCACGGAGTAGCGGTGTCGGTCCCTTTTGGTTTCCCCCTGTTATTCGGCGTTTCGACATTGGGCGGAAGGGAGGGGAGAGTGGGAGGGGGTCTGGCTCCGGACCTCTGCTCAATGCGACTGTCTGCAGCAGTGCGTCCCGTGGGGGCGACTCCGCCTGCTTGAAAGAGGCGCCAAAAACAGCCAAGATCTACTCCATTCGGGGATGGACAGAACCCCCTTTAGCAAAACGTGGTTTAGTGAAAGCGATCTCGGGCCCAAACCTGGCGGGCGCAAGCCTGGAAAATGGCGGCCGCGGCGCCCTCTCGAGAATCGAAAACGGACAATTCTCTAGTCGACGTGTCAGGGTGGGAGTTCTGTCCACCCCCGAAAAACACGGCGAGACACGGGACGCGCCACGCGAGATCATAGGGCGGCACGATCTAAACAGGTTCACCACCACTGGCCTTCGGTGGCTCAACTCATGGGAGCCTCCCGTGTCATATGGTCAGCTCATGCGAATCGACGCCAACTAAATCGACGCCAAATCGACGCTAACCGACGCTAAATCGGAGCTTTCTCATCGACTCCCAGACGCTAATCGACGCTAAGCGACGCCAAAGGCAGAATTAAGAGGGCATGCCAGGCTCCCTTGAGTTGCTGCCGAACTAGCCAGGCCCATCCTGGGCCCAGGAGCGGTGTGCACGCTTGGCCAGGGATCGGGGGCGGCCAGGAGGGGGGCGTCCAAGAAGGGGGGGGGGCGCAAATCGTGGCCCGCGGCACGTGCGCGGCCCAGGGGGATGGCCGGGGACGCCTTGAAATAAGAAGAGTCGCCACGCAATCTGGGGAGATATCATGGCCCCCGCCCTGACATCCCCCCCCCTAGTCATCACCCCCCTCGTCCCCTAAGGGAGAAGGAGGAGGAGCAGGAGGATCAGGAGGAGCAGGAGGAGGAGGAGGAGGAGGAGGAGGAGGAGGTGGAGGAGGAGGAAGGAGGAGGAGGCGGGGTGGAGTAGGAGGAGGAGGAGGAGGAGGGAGGAGGAGGAGGAGGGGGAGGAGGAGGCACGTGCGCACGGGTCCCGGGCCCAGGATCGGGCTGGCCAAGGCCAGCGTGCAGCAGCGGCACGGCGCGGCGCGGCGGCGCGCCACGCGGCACGGCGCGCGCGCACCGCTGCTGCTCGCCGACCGCGCGCTCCGCAGCACGGTGGTCTCACCGCTCCGGAACGCAGAAACGCGGCAGCAAGCTCTTCCTCCAGCAAGCTCGCCTCCTCTTCCCCCCAGCCCCACACTCTCCCCCCATCCTGGATCCCCGTCTCGCACCCCTCCTACTCCTCCTCCATCTTCCCTCCTCCATCCTTCCTCTCATCCCTCCTGTCCTCCTCCTCCTCCTCCTCCTCCTCGTCCTCCTCCTCGTCCTCGTCCACGTCCTCCTCCTCCTCCGCCTCCTCCTCCTCCTCCTCCTCCTCCTTCTCCTCCTCCTCCTCCATTCCTTCTCCTTATAGATAACTCCTCCCTGTCGCACCCCGAGGCCACTTTTTAGGGCGGGCCGGGCGTTTCGCCTGAGACTGCCTCACCATTTATGACTCTGACGCATAAAAGCGACAACATATTCACGGATGGAGGGCGGGTCGTTTTCAAAATGTGGTTCTCGCCTTAGCGCCGCGCACATCCGCTGTAAACAATTGCAAAAGTTTTACGGATTGAGGGCGGGTGGTTTTCAATATGTGGCTCTCGGCTTAGCGCCGCGCACATTTGCTCTTATAAAACTGCGAGAATGTCACGGATTGAGGGCGGGTGGTTTTCAAAATGTGGCTCTCGGCTTGGCGCCGCGCACATTGGTTTTCAAAATTGCAAGAGTTTCACGGATTGAGGGCGGGGCGCCGCACACATTCGTTTTAAACATTTGCAAGAGTTTCGCAGATTGAAGGCGGCTCCTTTTCAAAATGTGGCTCTCGCCTTAGCACCGCGCACATTCGTTTTCAAAACTTGCAAGAGTGTCACGGAATTACATGATAAACGTACCATAAATGTTGTTTTGGAAAGATTCAGGACAATGCGGGTGCAACAACTATGTTGATTCGCTGTGCTGAAGTCCCAAGAATGGCGCTCTGGCGCGTTTGACGGACAATCAAGACGCAGCAGCCAGGTTGATACGTGGCATTGGAATCCCGAGAACAATGTTTTGGCATGCCTCCGGATCTTCAAACGGTTGTCCTCTAACGATCCACTTCCCTCAATGGAAATGAACCGCTGTGGGGGCCTATGAAGAGGGAGCTCGGAGAGAGGGTTCATTCCAACATCGTTGATGACTCTTGGTTTTGCACTGGTCCTCCTCCGCCTGCTCCTCCTCCCCCTCCTGCTCCTCCTCCCCCTCCTCCTCCTCCTCCTCCTCCTCCTACTCCTCCTCCTACTCCTCCTCCTACTC